GTCTCGACTCCAAACCGAGGGTGTACAGCGTCAACCCGCCCGCGAACGCACAAGTAACGCCCGCGCTTCGTTTGCTTGCTTGTTTGTTTGTTGTTTGTGCGGGAGATTTTGCCTTTGTCCGTTTTCTTTTATTTTGGTTATTGGTGTTATTGTTGTTATTATTATTTTGTTATTTATTATTATTAATTATTATTGTCATTATTGTTCTTATCATTAATATCATTGTCATCTTTATTTATTTATCCATAACTGTTATTTTATGATAGTCATTGTTATTATTGATATTATTGTTATTATTGTCATAATCATTATTATTATTATTATTATTATTATTATCATTATTATTATTATTATTATTATTATTATTATTATTATTGTCACAATCACCATTATTATTATTCATATTATTATTGTTATTATTAATATTATTATTATGATTGTCATAATCATCATAATTATCATAACATCTATATTTTTTGCATGATTGTTGTGCATGATTTCTATATGTTTGTGATGACTGTTGTGGGTCACGTGGTTGTTTGTGATTGTTATTGTTGGTGTAATTCGTGGTTGTCGTCGTTTGTTGATGTTTTTGTTGACTTTGTTTGTTTTTTCATAGTTATTGCGTTTCTGTTGGCACTGTTCTTGTTGTTAAATGTTGTTCGTATTAATATTATCGTCGCTGTTACCAGGTTAGAAGCACATAAGCAGAGACAAATTTGTAAGAACAAACAAATACATGTACACACACACACACACACACACACACAGACGCCAACACGCAAACACAAAAAAACACAAAGAAACATACATACCCGAACAAACAGACATACAAACACACACAAACACCAACAAACACACACACACAAAAACGAAATCAAACCCACAAACCATGCAGATCAAAAGCAAACATGCACAAACAAACAAACACACGGCGCTGACTCACACCTCCCTCCCCCCGAACACCTTCCACACGTGCGAAAAGCGATCGATAAAACGCACACATGTTGCACTTCCTTCGCTCGCTTCGTGGCACCAGCTAGAGGTTGGGTTTTCGTAGTTAAATTTCGTTTGTTTTCGTTTTTTTTCGTTTGTTTTCGTTTTTTTTAAAATCTGCGTTTTCTTTTTTTCTCGTTTTTGTGTGGGTATTAATGGTCATTGGTGGTTGAGTGTGTAATGTTTATGCTTTTTTTGTTTTTGTTTTTGTTTTTGAGGATTATCACATATACGTGCATATGTACGTGCATATGTGCACACAAACACATACACACATGCATATACACTCATACATATAAACATACACATACATACACATACACATACGCATACACACACACACACACACACACACACCACACACACACACACACACACACACACACCACACACACACACACACACAACACACACAACACACGCACACACACACAACTACACACACACACACACACACACACACACACACACACACACGCACACACACACACACACACACACACACACACAACACACACACACAGCACACACACACACACACACACACACACACACACCACACACACACACACACACACACACACACACACACACACACACATACACACACACACACACACACACACACACACACACACACACACACACACACACACACACACACACACACACACACACACACACCACACACACACACACACACCACCACACACACACGGAATTTTAAAACACGTAAAATTTTGGCAACCCATTGTCCGTATGCGTTCGTTATTCCTTCATTAATTAGAAAGAATTTATATTGTTTATTCTCTACCATTCTTGGTTTATCTCCCTCCCTCCTTCTCCCTTTCTTCTTTCTTCTCTCCCTCTCCTTTCCTTTCTCCTTCTCCCTCTCTCCCTTCATCCGCTTCCTTCTTTGTCTCATTTCTTCTTTTCTCTTCTCTTCCTTTTTATCGTTTTTTCTTCTTGCCTCCGATCTCGTCGTGCCCTTATATTTCCTTGCCCTCTTAGCTTATTATTCATGTTTCTTTTTCTCTTTTTTATTTAAAATCAGCTTCTCCTCCTCCTTCTTTTTCTTCTTATTTAAAAAGCTTTCTCCTCTTCTCCGCCTTCTCCTTCTTACCCTTCTTCTTCTCTTCTTCTTCTTCTTCTTCTTTCTTTTCTTCTTCTTCTTCTTCTCTTCTTCTTCTTCTTCTTCTTCTTCTCTTCTTCTCCTCCTCTCTCCTCCTCCTCCTCCTCCTCCTCCTCCTCCTCCTCTCCTCCTCCTCCTCCTCCTCCTCCTCCTCCTCCTCCCCTCCCCCTTGACCCTTCTCCTCCTCCTCCTCCTTTCCCACCACACCTTTTCCACTTATTCTTCCTCCTCCTTCTCCTACTCCTCCTCCTCCTGTTCCTCCCCTTCCCCTTTTCTTCTGTCATCCATGTCATTTACAAACAAGACGGGAAGTTCTCACAACCTTTGACATGTGTCTCAGCGCCAATGACAGCCAAAACCGTGGGAAAGATAGAGATTAGAAGGAAAGAGAGAGAGAGAGAAGGAAGGAGGGTGGGAGAGAGGATAGGAATGAAGGTGGGGGAGAGAGAGGAGAGAGAGAGAGAGAGAGAGAGAGAGAGAGAGAGAGAGAGAGAGAGAGAGAGAGAGAGAGAGAGAGAGAGAGAGAGAGAGAGAGAGAGAGAGAGAGAGCAAGAATGCATTTCTTAACGAGATTCTCTATAATCTTATCCCTCTTCCCTCAGTATGATCAAAATCTTTCGATTACGCGACGATAACCGAATCCAATTAAATATAAAAAAACATGAATGAAAAATACAAATATAAACAACACAGTCATAAATGTCAAAATCCAATGCAAAAAGTGCACGGAAACGAGAGGTCGTTGCAAACCCACACATGCAGTCGCCACAACAAACCTCTGTGCAAAAGAAAGTCTTAAAAATGACCCCGGGCGCTATTGCAGCTGCAGACCCCGGCCGAGGTCGAGAGCCGGGGTGTCAGCACCTCCAAGAGCAGCCCTATCACAGCCGTCAGCCCCGTCGTCAGCCCCGTCGTCAGCCCCGTCGTGAGTCCAAATCAGGACAAAAGCAGCAGCAAGGCGGACGGATCCTCGAGGGAAAACCCGAGCAAGGACAACAAAGACAGGCCGG